CGTATTGACCTCGCTGTCGCTCGGTCAATACGGCAAGACCTCAGTTTGAGATTTTCCCGTAACGACCTCACTCTCGGTTATTAAGTAGTTATTACTGCCTTAACGACAATAATAGCTGAGACCTTTTTCGGTACCCAAAATGACATTCTTAACAACCCCGACAAAACATCTCTAATATGGATAGAGCTCCGCTCGATTAACCTATCAGAATACTCAAAGGGGTATGACGTAATGACAACTGAGCTCGGAAACCGTCAACTTTGCTATCTGTGTTCGGAAAGGTCAAATGTGTTCAGCGTTCGACCAGTTTGTTGGCTTATGCCTCTATTTGCGTATTCATTTCACCGTCCTATGAAATTTGCGTTAACACTGTTATACGGAACTTACCATAGACTGGAGTTTTTCCAGGTAAGACGAGGATAATAAGCTGTAAATTGCTAAACGTCGCCATCAAGTGCTTGAACATCGGTTCAACCTGAAAAGTAAAAAGAAAGAACAAAGTTGAACTTTAACATACACTAACGTACCCTACATATCGAGAATTGAATCCAGAATTTCAATACTTTCGCTTCGGGGCACCATTCACTTTAACGTCGACCTTTTTTTACTCGTAATCAGAGGCGCAAACTGATATACGATCTAGTGAAAATCAAACCAACGGAGCCGAAAGCAGAATACCAAATCCGCTTATGACTCTGTCGCTTATGATCTCGTGAAAACTTCATTGTTAGAGTCGGAAGAAGAAACAGAACAATAAACCAATCACAATGCTCAATTCTGGTCTTGTGATTGTTTGGTTCTTTCGCTTTTGCTTCCGACTCCGACAATCTGGTTTTCACTGGATCATAAGTGACGGGGTCGTAAACGGAATCGGAAGAAATGGAAACGTTCTGATTCTTCAGACTCCGATTCCGTCGAGCTTACGACTCCGCTAACGACTCCGATTTGCGATTTTGACTAGATCATAAGCGCTCTCACGACTCCGATTCCGACTCCGACTCCGTCGCTAGTGGAAACTAGCCTTTAAAAAGTTCGTCCCGCTTTTCCATCCAATCAGAAGTAAAACCAAAACCAATCATGATTCGCTCGCACTCGTTTTCCAGCGCTTCGCATCAGGTACATGTATTTAGTTCGAGTTTTGATTGGTTCATTGGATTGTCTCAGTCTTTTGTGACTGGCTAGGCTAGAAAGTGATTATTTTCGTTTAAGTTTTACGACACTTATGATTGGTTGAGAAACCATGGCAAAACATTTTTTTTTTAAAATAACAGTTTTTGACGTCGTATTACGATTGGTGAAACGTCAGTAGTGATTGCCAGCTAAATTCTCCAAATTATCTGGTTGCAAACACAAGGAAAGACGCAATGAGAAAGAAGGATCTCATTATCTCGGGAGAGAGTCTTCATTGACACCTAAATTACCCCAAAGCGAACCACAGAAAATAAGGACAGTAAGAAGAATTCAGAAATTCATCTACTTACATCTGTAGGTTTCTTGGCATATTTACAGAAACAAGGCTCAGATCTGATGGGCATTCCAGTTTCGCCACTTATCTTCATCAACTGATGCGCGAAGCTCTTCAAAGCTCTGTCGTTGCAGTCTTGAGGACTTACAAAGCAAGCAATCGCCCAGACCTTTATCTCGATGCCGTGAAACAGCTGCTTTCCTCGCATGTCCCAGGCACCTTAAATTTACAATACAGCATAAAGGAGAATAGTAAGGTCTAGAGCGGTTTTCAATTGAGTGACCAAAGCAATCAGGCAGTTACTTTGGTTTTTGTTTTGCTTTCACCACGGGTTGAGATTGGCTGTCGTGAGTAGTCTAATTGGTAGGTAATTGGTTTGGTTTTGGTTTTTCAACACTCAATTGAAAACCGCTTAATTGTCAAAAAGTGGAAAACAGGAATAACGGAACCAATGAAGTAGCCCATTGCATGAACTGGTCACATGGTACAAAAGAATGCGAAAGTTTCCAAAACAAAGCAGCTTCAACAAGTCAACTTTTAATGACACAATTTGTGTTAGCTTGTTAGTATCCAGTACTGTAGGTTTTGTACAGTGTGACCTGTTCATGAGAAGAACCTATTACATGTACATTCAGACATCATTCGACCGTACAAAAAGTGTAGAAACCTTTTACCGTAAAATACTGTCAACATCTACAAGGCTCTCATTTGTTCCGTAGACCTCTTTAGTTAGTTTGTTTTCAGAGAGGGGACAAGAAGGGAGGGATTGTTGCATTCCCAATTTGTTTAATGCAAGCTGGGCAATCTCCCGTAAGTGGTTACCTTTTCCTTGCAACTCAACTGGCCGCTTACGAGAACTATTCTCAGTAAGCGCCCAGCTCTAGTTACGGACAGTTTTTTCGCGTTCCAAGGGTGTTGGCTTACGAGGACTTCCACTGTACACGTAATTTTTGGTTCTGGCTCAATAAACTCTCTAGGGGTCTTCCACTGACTTCAAAATGGCTCCAGGAATGCAGAAGCATTAAAGTAACACCAGACATATGTAAGACAAGTCAATCTTATTTAAATTCTTTTTGACACGTATATTTGCGGGGGTAGGGGAATGGAGGGACTAATTATCATAATACTATGATCACAGTTAATGTACAGTCATGTGTACCAGGTTCCCATGCAATAATCAATTAATATTTGACCATACCTTGTCTTGGAGAAATCTTTATTTTGTCCTGATGATTAACAAGATATAACAAAGGCCAATGATTAAATATTACATGCCTTTACAATCCTTTTATGTATCATTACAAGTATTAGTGCGACTATACCAGGCATTCAGTCAATTGAGAATCAGCGCAAAAAATGACAAAAGAAAAAATAACTGAAGAGCACAGTCTCTGACTTAATAAATTTGCCTCCCCACCTCTCCCCCACACCTCCCATTTTTTTTTAAGCTGCTCCCCAACTCCTTGGACCCTGGAGCAGGCTAGAATGACTCATCAAGATAATGTTTACTGGCATGTCAGCTAATCAGTTATTGATCACAGCATTACAATAACAGAATAAGGATGTTTTACATAACTTTGCACAGAAACAATGAAGGCATCACTGACAACGCTTTAAGTAACAAAAGATAGGTTTACTAACCTTTCCTCCATATTGTAGTTTAGGGGCGATAAGAACACGACCTTCGAGTTCAACCATTCTGTCATTTATTGAGATGCCAAAATCTTGAACATATTGGTCGTTGTTAAAATCTGCTTTCCTAACCTGGAATCATAAAAAAAACTAACGTTCATGTGTAAAGGTCGTACTCTCAATAGTCAGACTTAATTTCTTCATTGGGACATGGTAAACAAACTTAAAAATGTAACCACTGAATGCTTTCCAAAAGTCTTGAGGATCAGAAACTGTTAGTAACACGCACGGTGTGTAACTGTGCTGTGTGTAACAAACATGTCCAAACTGACAGAAAATTGTGACATGTAGTGATGATTAAAAACATGTAAGACTGAGTGATAGATACAGGTGTCTGTATGTAATGGCTGCTAATAAATAATTACTTACGTGTTTCTCTTTAAATATGCATCTGTACAAATGAATCTCAACTAGGTAGACTACTTGCTGCTGATATTTCCTCATACATGTGCACTGAAGGACCCAACAAGTGTTTATTCTCACGAAAGAAACAACGCGAATGACAGTATGGGCAATCTCTTCACGGACCCCTCTCATCTTTAAACCCCTGCCTGGTATCCCATTTCAGATTTTCCATAGAATATTACTAGACAAAGTGTATGTCTTTTACCATTTATTTATTTAATATTATTATTTGGGGGGGGGGGGGGGGGGGGGGGGGNACCTGTATTATGCAGGCACTCACGGGAACCTTGTAACTGTTTGCTTAGTAACCGTGGGAGAAAAATAGTCATAGCTGCTTCATGCTAAAGTATTGAAAACAGGCTACTGTTAAGTTGTTCCACTAGCTTTGAATACAGAACTTCTCTTGATTTTTGTTAGTGCTACAAGAGAAGACTTAATTCATAATTTTTCTTTGAAGCCACCAACCCAAACACCCCCCACCCCATGCTTCACAAGTTCTTCACTAACCATCAATGTTCAGCATCATCTTCCACTGTGACGGTCGCACACTCTGATGAAAGCCAAACCATACCTCACGCCCGCTCTCTAGTGGGTGGTAATAGCCATCTGGAGGAGAAAAGAAAGATCTTCCCACAGGGGTATACTTCATGGATGGCAAGTGCCGCAATACAACATCCAGAGCCTGGATGGTCTCGAACGGAATCTGATTGTGTTTTCCTTCTAATGCTTGTTCCAGTGCAAACAAGCTTACTTGTGCGACCCATTTGACTGTCACCTTAAAAAGATAATTCAATATAAATTTAAAAAATAATAATGATTCAAGACAAATTAATGGGGAAGAGGCCACAACAAGTGGCCTCCTACACCAACACCCCGTGTACTTTTCACGCAATCTTCCTCCCCTACAAACAACTACTGAAATAAAGAGCACATTTCCTCCCTTTGTTCATAAACATTATTTTTATATAAGCATTTTAGCATATTAGTTTGGCAAGTTTTCATTATAGTTGAGTCATCCTAGGATTTGATTGTACTTAGTTGAAATTTTTACTCTATTTAACCATAGTTACTGAGGACCTCCCTGAAATTATTATTATTATTATTATTATTATTATTATTATTATTATTATTATTATTATTATTATTAGTAATAGTATTTGGACCGAGTGGAGTACAATTCAGGGAATAATCGAGCGAGTAATTTCAAAATCAGTCGAGCGCAAAGCGTGAGGCCAGTTTGAATTTACAAACAAGATTACTCCCTGAATTGTATGACAGAAGGTCCAATTACTAATTTATTGTATCTATAACAAATTTTGGAATTCAAAATGTCTTTTGAGAACTTCTTTGGAGCGAAAATGTCGGTAGCACTTTATATAAGTTTTGAAAACCGGAAGAAACACTGTGAAGGAAGCCATTAAAGCACGCATAATTGGTGTGCGAATCACGTGAGTATCCAATTACAGGTATCCCATTTGAAAAAGTTCAAATCAGACACCTTTTATTGGATACCCACGTGATCGTGCGCTGATTATGCGACAAATGGGCACGTGGAGAACCAATCACGATCAGGAATTTTGTTATAGATTCGATTATTATTATTATTGTTGTTGTTGTTGTTGTTGCTGTTGTTGTTGTTGTTCTTGTTATTATTATCAACTGGATACAACATAGAAATAACTTTAAATGCATGATTTCTCTGGCTCCAAAGTTCACTCCCTTGATCAGGAAGTACGCTGTCATTGAGCAGATGTTCATGGGGAAGATGGCATGACAAACACAAAGACCATCTGTATAGGAGGCTACACAATGAGTGAACTTGAAGAGGACTTAGCAAGTATCAGGGTTGGCGGGGGAGGGGGTGAGGCATACACTGTATATGAAATTTAACCTATCTGATGAGGCTCACAAAATATTTTTATAGCTTCAGTTTTTAGCTACAGTCTACCTTCTATTATGCATCTAACAATGATTCTAACTTACTTTGAATGTCTTGTCTTTGCTGTTTTCAGTTGGAAGTGTCACCTCAAAATCAATCTAAAACATAACACCCAAACATTCCAGTTATAAAAATATCAAGCACAGTTGTACAATGTACAGTGTCACCCAAGTTCTCTACAGCCTGTGGGTGTTGTAGGGGAACAAAAAGACTTTTGATTTTTTTGTTAAGACCACCTTCCATGTGTCATTGAAGCTACATTGTGCTTGAGGAAAAACTAGATACGTATACATTAAGTACACATGTCTAAAGAAAGCATACTGTATTCGTACACGCGTTATAAACACAATAATACATCTTGATCCAAAATAAAACCGAAAACTTCCTCAAACGCTAAGACTTGTACTTGTTCTATAAGTCATAAATTTTACAAATTCCTATTAATAAAGCTCATTCCAGATGGAAACAAGCTTACAACTTACTGGTTTTCGACCGATCGGTAGTGCTTTACTGCTGTAGAGATTCTTCCTTCCATCAAACACAGGTCTTTGTCCTCCAAAAACTTTGTGATAAGTGCTAACCATGGCTTCCACGACATCGCGGTTCACCCGTCTCGGGCATTTGTCGGGCGATATGCTAAGATCATAATGGTGAATGTCTCCTTTGGGAAGTCGAACTTGAAAAAAGTTTGTTCTTAGAGCGATCGTCTTTCCCACAGATCCAAAATTGGGTCTTTTAGGAGGAGCGAAGTCTCCACCGACGCGATT